AGGAATTATTATTATAATTCATAAATTTGTCTTTGAGATTATATTGCTAATAATATATTGCTCATAAAGTTATTTTTAATTTTGTATTGCTGATAATACATTATTCATTTTTAATTTCATATTGCTGATAATATGAATATTATAATCATTATAACTTTAATTTTGAGATTTTGAGAATTCTTTTTAGCAGTCCAGATTATTGTGTTAAAAGAACACAATTGTTACCAATTTTATCACTAATATTTTTAGTACTTATTCACATTCAGTCTAATAGTTATAAAGTATTATTAATACTTTGAATTGTCATTAAGATATTAAAAGTTTTCCTTTAATATTCCTTAAATTTTATAAATATCTTTGAGTATTTTGAAAGTCAATTAAAATAATAACAATATAGATCAATTAATATATATTTTTTATAATAATAATAATAATATAAATTAAATATAATTAGTATAAATTATAATTAATATAGAATAAATTAATATAAAAATAGAATGAACTAGTATAAAATATAATAAAAATAAAATAAAATAATATAAAATAAAAATAAAATAATTTGAAATATAATAAAAATAGTATAAAATAAAATAATATAAATAAATACAGATAATATAAAATAAATATGAATATAATTTATAAATTACAAAAAATCAATTATTCAATCAAAATAAACTATGAGAAATTATATAATATATTAAAATTTATATTATAATAATATAAGATATTTATTTTTTATAAAAATATCAAATTATAATCTATTATATAACTTAATACTAATTAATCAAATAATTATATTATATTTTAGAATTAATTTTATAAAACTAAAGCAAATTAAAAAAATTTTTATTAATTTATAGAAAATTTTTTATTTTTTTTATTTTAATTATTGATTTAAAAATTATATAAAACTTTATATAAGTATAAATGAAATTTTTAATTTATATAAATAAATAATATTAAAATCATAATAATATTATTAAAAATAAATTAAAAAATTTTTCTTTAAAAAATTTAAGAATTTATTCAAAAAATATAAAATCTTTTTATAAAATAATTAAAATAAAATATTTTATATTATCTAATATTATATTATAATATTAATTTTTATAAAATAAATTAAATATATTATAAATAAGCTTTATAAAAAATTTAAAAAATTATTTTAATATATTTTAAAAATAACTAAATATTTTTTCAAATTATTATTTTTTATTAAAATTTTAAAAATTTACTAATTAATCTCTAATATAATTACAAATTTTTTCTTTTTTTAAAAGGATTTTAGCAAATTTTTGGATTTTTTATTATATAATATTCTTAAAATTATGAAATTATATATATAATTTTATTAATAAAATTAAAATTCTTGTCTTATAAAATTTTTTATTTTTATATCAAAATAAAAACTATAAGTTATAATTTAATATATATTTATTTAGATTTTTTAGATTTTTTTCTAATTACAAAAATTTTTTATAATTAAAATACAAAATAAATTATAAAAAATTTTTGTAATAAATTTGCATTAGAACTATTTTGTCAAAAAAATTTAAAAAATAAATATATATTAAATTAAAATCTATAATTTTTATTTTGATATAAAATTAAAAACTTTTATATAAGACAAACTTTCAATTTTATTCTATTTATTAATAAAAATATATAGGTAATTCTATAATTTTAAAGTTATTATATTTGAAATTATTTTTAAAATTAATATTTAATAATTCCAATTAATTTAATAAATTTTTTAAATATATATATTAATAAATATATATTCTAAAATAGTTTATATTTTATTTTATTTTAATTTATTTATAAAAAAATTTAATAATTTTATAAAATATGTTAATATTTAAATATATATCTAAATATATATAATAATTAATAAAACTATAAAATTATATATTTTTTATTTTTATATTAAAACAAAAATTATAAGTTTTTAATTTTATTAATAAATATTTTTTATTTATTTCAAAAAAAATTATAAGTTTTTAATTTTATTAATAAATATTTTTTAATTTTACTAATAAATATTTTTTATTTTTACATTAAAATAAAGATAATATTATATATTTTAACATATATTTTTTAGATTTAATTTGATAAAGCTGTTCTAATTGTATATAATAATATCTTAATTACTTATTTTATTTTATTATTAGTTAATAATATTCTTTTTCTTTCTATTTGGTTTTCTTTTTTTAACTTAAATTAATATAAATAAACTAAAATAAATTTAAATTTATTAATTATCAATACTTATATTTATATATATTTTTATATTATATTAATATAGTATAATATAATAATATATAATATTAATATAATACAATATATAATATAATAAATTTATACTATTACTATAAAATTATTGATTTTTTTAATTATATGAGAGAACTTCAAATAAGAATTAGAAAACTTAAATTAAACTTGGAGAACTTGAATTTTATTAATTATTAATACTTATATTTATATATATTTTTATATAATAATGATACAATATAATATAGTTGTGATACAATAAATCTATATTACTACTATAAAATTATTAATTCTCTTCTAATTATATGAAAAGTTAATTATATTTTAATTAATAATCTTGTTCTATACTAAAATATTAATAATAAAAATGAAAAATAAAAGTTAAATAAATATAAAAAATGATAAATTTGCCAAGAGAATTATATGATTAATATATCTAAATTAAAATAATAATAAATTAAAAATAAAAAGATAAAAAATAACAAGAAAGAGAAAGAAAAAACAGAAATAAAAAAATATTATTGACTTGAATATATAATTAAAAATATTATTGTAATTAATTTTATATGATTGCACTTTTTATTCACATATTCATTATATTGAATTAGTAATAATATATATATGATTTTATAATTTTATTAGTCAATATATAAAACTTTTCAATTTTATTAATTAATATTTTTTATTTTTATATTAAAATAAAGATTATAAGTTATATTTTAATATATAGTAACTAACAGAATTATGAAATTGTACATGCAATTTTATTAATAAAATATAGTAAAAATTAAAATTTTTATTTTATAAAAAAGTTTTTAATTTTATTAATAAATATTTTTTATTTCTATAAAGATTATAAGTTATAATTTAACATATATTTTTTCTAGATTTTTTAGATTTTTTTCTGGTAAAGTTGTTCTAATTACAAAATTTTTGCAATAACTTTGCAATTAGAATAATTTTATTAGAAAAAAATCTAGAAAATTCAGAAAAATATATTAAACTATAACTTATAATCTTTATTTTGATATAAAAATAAAAAATATTTATTAATAAAATTAAAAACTTTTTATAAAACAAAAATTTTAATTTTATTAATAAAATCACATACATAATTCCATAATTCTTATATAAAAAATATATTTTGTATATATTTATTTATTATTTAAAAATAAATTAATTTAAAAATATAATAACTTTGTTGCAATATTTTTTTTAAAAAATTGATATTTTGAATATGATATACAAAACAATCATTTTTTTCTTTATTATTTTTATTATTAATCAAATTATACCAAACTTAAACAAAATTAAATATATTCTTTAATTAAAATATATTAATATTGTATTATCTATAAAAAATTTTTTTAATTATAATTTTAATTTTATTAAAATATTCTCTTTATTTTATATATAATATAAAAACTCTTAAATTAACAATATGTTTCATGTTAAAAATTCTTTTAACTTTTTAACTAAAAAGTAAATTCAATAAAATTAAAAAATCTTTTAATTTTTATTTTTTTGTATATTATCAAAAAAATAAATATTTATAGCTAAAAGATTTTAAAATATATTTAGAAACCTAAATCTTAAAAATCCAAAGTTCTCTATTATTTTTCTATTATATTACTTATAGCTAACTAATTTTAAATTTGTTTAAAACTTTCAGAAGATAAACAAAATATTATTATTTGCTTTTCTTTTTTCAAAGAATCAGAGATTCAAGGCTCTGTCTCACCAATGTGAGGAAAAAAGATTTGATCCAAATTCTGTCGCTATGTGGTTTTGGTTCGCAAAAGACTCGTGGAACTAGGACATATAGCACATATCCAGATAGAAACTTACAATTGAATAAATAAGTATACAAAGATGTCTTTTCGACAGGCTAATCAAGCAAATATTAATAAAGATATTCAAGCCAGACTTGTAGAGCTTAAAGAAGCAGCATTGGAAACAATACTATATCCCCGAATCTCAAGAAGAGATTAAACGTTTCGAGGGAAATAGAAATGTGGCGCATCCTGATAAGCTTAGAGCGCAAAGCACCCCGCAAAACTAGATAAATTAGCTGGTTAGCAGAGCCAGGTTAAAAGAATCACTTCTCTCTAAATTCGATAATGGGCAGATAAATACACACTACTAGAAATTCCAAAAATGAATTTGTCACTTTGGAACCCGATATCTCGACATCTGGTGATCCCACTTTGTTCATCGGATGTCGAGATATCGGGTTCCAAAATGACAAACTCATTTCCGGTAATATATTGTAGGAGTGTATATCGTACTTGCTAGTTTGTAATCGATATTACTTATATTATTTATAATTATATAAATGGGTTAATATTAGATATATTTCAAAAATTCGAAAACAATTTTATTGAGATATTCTAATATACATCCAATACTGCGCCAAAACGCTAATTTTAATTGTAGATCTTATACATAATAATCAATCTAACCAATCAGAATTCTTTAAATCATTATAACTTTTTAAATAAAATAAATTCTCTTACAGAATTACAGTTTTATCAAAAAGCTATTAATCTGTAAGAGGAATTTTTTATATAATTATTAATTATTAAAATTGGATGTCTTCTTGCTGTTACATAATATAAAAATTGTTCCTGAAAACATTGAATTATATATGATGCAGCAGATCATTTCTTTTATGCTAGCTGGATTTAGGAATGCACAAAATAATTAATTTTTAGCACAATATTTTTGCCATGTCCGCGATTCAAAAGAACTCGGGCGTTTCGCCGGGCAAAGAAAGCACAAAACAAGAACCAGCAAATGGCTTCTCTTCAGATATATCTTTTAGTTTTGACCATAATTCAGAGTTAGACCCTCGTCTTTTACGGGCCTTATCAAAATTAAATTACGTCAAGCCGACTCTTATTCAAGAAAAAGCTATACCACTTGCCTTGGCAGGCAAGGATATTTTAGCAAGAGCTAGAACTGGTAGCGGTAAAACTGCTGCTTATGCCTTGCCTGTTATTCAAAAGATCTTGACTGCAAAAAAGGTGTGCTAGTCCAAAACCGTGTATTTGAATCGAATGCTTCATACTCTTAAATTTTTAATTGATATGGTAAAGATCATTTGAGCAAAATAACAATCATTAATCTTTTTTGGTTCTCTTAAGGCTACATCAAAATTAACATCAATCCATGGTTCAACGTGTGTATTGATCCTAGTTCCGACTCGGGAGCTAGCGCAACAAGTCACAAAACACATAAATGAACTTTTGATTTATTGCTCCAAAGATATCAAAGTAGTCAATATTGGCACCAACATTCCTGTAGAGCTACAAAAGTAATTATTTCTTTTAATTCACACGCCGTACCTCCATATAATCCCACCTTAGGGTGCAGAAAAAAGTGTGACTATACGGAACTGGGAAAAATTTTGATTGTGTAATCATACATGATGCGATTGTGTAGAAATATCTGCTCATTTTATTAATCTTTATAATATTTAGACCTCTTCTGTTTGAAGCACCTGATATTGTAGTTTCCACTCCTTTCCGCGCAATAGCACAACTCGAAGCACAAGTACGTCTAACGTTAATTATATCAATTATTATGCTTAAATTAATTTTTTAAAATTTTTCCAGAACCTTGTTGTTCGTGAATCGCTACAAACGTTAGTTATCGACGAAGCTGATCTTATTCTATCGTACGGCTACGAAGAAGATATGCAAAAATTGTTGTCCTTTCTTCCAAAAATCTTTCAAAGTTTGATTATGAGCGCAACGTTAAGCAAGGTGGTCAATAAGAAAATAAAGTTCTTTTCATGTTTTCTACGGATTGTTCTAATATGTTAACATGATTTATACTTGATATTCTACTGTTGGGTGATATTTTTAGGATGTGGAAAAGCTAAAACATTGGATATTAAGGAATCCTGTAGATATAAAAGGTTCCTTTTTCTATTTATTAGGCTCGCATAAGCTCTTACCTTATATATATATCTATATGATTTTATTCATAGGTCATTTTAAAGCTCGAGGAAGAAAAAGACGAACTTGATCTTCTTGCTCAATATTGTGTTTTGTACGCTTATAATTTTCATTAATCAGTTATTTCATTTTGTTTTTGAATTTATACTAAATTCGAAGTTTTTTGGCTGGAAAAAAAAAAGATGTTCCGAAGTCGATAAATTTCTGTTGATTTTCGTGATATTAAGGCTTCACCTTATAAAAGGCAAATGCCTCATATTTGTAAATGATATTGACCGGTGCTATCGGTTAAAACTTTTCCTGGAACAATTTTCTATAAAGAGCTGTGTGTTGAATTCGGAACTGCCTTTGAATTCAAGGTATGATTTGATCGATTTCACATGATGACAATTTCTTAATCTTTTATTAAATATATGTGTTTACAAATAGATACCACATAGTTGAAGAGTTTAATAAGGGTGTCTATGAGTATATTATTGCCACGGATGAAAATAATTTGAAGGGTGAAAAGGATTCTGATGAGGAACTAGATAATAATGGTGAAATGATGTCTTGATATTGCTTATTAATAACATGAATTTTTAGGAATATGCTCTAAATTTTTTCTCGCTATTTTTATAAATAGATTATGCAACAGATAACGATGAAGCTTCGAAGATAGAAGAATCAAATCCTAAAAAGAAGAAAAGATCCCGTAAAAACAAGCAAGACAAAGAATACGGGGTTTCGCGTGGAATTGACTTTGTAAATGTCGCCGCGGTTATCAATTTTGATTTCCCAACTTCTGCTAAATCGTACACCCATCGGATCGGGCGAACTGCGCGTGCCAACCAAAAGGGGATGAGCTTGAGTTTTGTCGTGCCTAAAAAATTAGCGGGCAAAGATAAAAATGTGTCATGCCCAACTGCGGAAAATGACGAGGCATTATATGCTCGTGTAGAAAAACAACAATTGGAAGCAGGAAGGACAATCAAACCATACACGTTTGATATGAAACAGGTGGAAGGGTTCCGATACCGTGTAGAAGATGCTCTCAGGGCTGTGACGCGTATTGCTATTAGAGAAGCGCGTTTAAAAGAGGTCAAACAAGAAATCTTAAATTCTGAAAAACTAAAGGTAAAAAATCTTCTATCAATTCACGCAGTCTATTTTTTTTTATATTTCGTGTAATTAATTTTGATAATTACCGTTGAAGTCTCATTTCGAAGATAATCCTAAAGATTTAAATTTCCTTCGTCATGATAAACCCTTGCATTCAACACGGGTCCAAACTCACTTGAAAGACATTCCCACATATTTAATGCCGCGTATAAAGACTCTTCGTGTACCAACCACCACGGCTGAAGGCACTTCATCATCAAATGTTGGCTATGTGCCGTATCACAAGACATCAACTAATCGATATCGTAAACATAAGGGACTCAAATTTGCCGGACAGGTTCGTCACATTTAGTATTAGGAAAAATAAATCACGATTGACATGATATTTTTGCTTGTTTAGAAACGAAAAAACGATCCTTTAAAGACGTATAAAACTAAGAGTGGAGAATCGGCTGATATGGCAAGGAAAAAACAGGTACCAAGAAAATTTATAATGATTTGTTGTCATTTCAAACTCAACTAATATACGTTTTAAAATATAGAAAAGAAGCTGAATTGATAAAATAATATTTTTCCGATTTATACAATCCAAGTCAGCAGAAATAAAACAAATATTATATACAAAGGTTTACTTTTATCATTTCCTATCGCTATATGATAGTCATTCTTATTGATCAGAGCGTGAAGTTTTAGTATGTGTTTTCATGTGGCGTGTCACCTGATCTGGACGTGAAAATCTCTTATTGCACGTTCCTATTGGACATTTGAATGGACGCTCGCCAGTGTGCACACGCGTCTATAAAATGATAAAAAAAATAAGTAAAAAAAATTCAATTTCCTATAATTAGAATTATCATAATTATTCACGTACATGTTTAGTGAGATTCGAAGACTCTGCAAATCGTTTATTACATCCTTCGTATTTACATTTGAATGGTTTCTCGCCTAAAAATTATCAACATAAGATATGAATTTAATATATAGTGAGTTAATATTAACAATATATATATATTCTTTACCTGTATGAACTCGTAAATGAATTGTCAATGCCCCAGAAATCGAAAACTCTCGATCGCAACCAGGTTTTGGGCATTTGTATGGGCGTTCCCCTGTATGAGTTCTCATGTGCTGCGTCATAATATTGGGTTCGGAAAAGCGTTTTTTACAAACTGTACATTGATATGGCTTATCCCCTGAAATTTCAGAAATATAAGTTAAATACTAAATTCTTATGTACATAAAAAATTAAGATAAAAAAGATTGTACCTGTATGAGTTTGTATATGTCGCATTACTTTTTGCCGTTGATTAAATGGCCTACCATTACGATTACATGATTCCCAATGGCAAACATATTGACTGCGCCCTGAGCCAATATGACTCTCACTCACATGACCTGTCAATTCATCAAAGGTTTCAAATCGTAAAGAGCATCCATCCCATTTACAACAATGCTGAAACTGATGCGTATTCAAATGATCCGAGTACACATGCTCTATCAATTCATCACTCCCTTCCTTTTCCATTGAACATGAAGCCCATAGACATAAATTACTTTTACTGCGTCCAGCCACATGCAATTTTGAAAGATGTGGAACTAATTCATCGATTGATCCGAATACAGCGGCACAAGTTGACCAAAGACAACGCATTTCATCACTTGCTTCATCATATAGAGGATTTTCTTTTCGTTTAGTGTTAATTGTTAAATTGACAGAATTTAAGGTTGATGATGTCTCGGAGCCAAAACCATCTGAAGTTGAGTCTCCCGAGAGAGAACGTGGACTAGAAGAATTAAGTATGATTTCGTCTCGAATCACTTCTATATCTGGTGACGATGGAAACGTGAATGTTGAATGTAACGATCCATTTGATGAAGTATTGTCGTGATTAAGTGAGATCTGTAAAGAGATTATTAATTAAAAGAATCAATAATTAATTGGAGATGATTAACTAAAAGGATAAATAATTAATTGGAGATAAAGAATTAAGTAAGCTAAAGAGAGCAAACATACAATGCTGGATGAAATATTTTGATTTCCTGTTTCATTACTATTTATTATAGGTGATACGTGATTAATTGGAGAAATTTGTTCATGATTTTCGTCACATGCAAATATTGTCGAAATATGATCTGAAGATGTCTTGAGACCATTCGATAGTGGGATGTGTGTTGATTGAGGCTGACCAAAAGTGGGTAGTCTCAATCCATAATCAAATATTTGAGGATATTTTGAAAACGAAAACCTTTGAAATTCAGAATCTTCTGTTGCATCAGCACCATTCTGCTTGGTTGTCGCAGCTTCGGCAGCAGCCACCGGACAACATTCCGTGCAACATTCTCCGGCAATAGCAGTGGGAGATGGAGATGGTGTTGGTGATACATAATTTGAATGATTAGTTGTAGATGTTGAGGACGTCATCAAAATATCAGAAGATTGAGTAAATGGATTAAATGAAGAAGGGGACAACTGTGATGCTGAAAATTCTGCCAGAGAAGATATGTATGGACTGGGGAAATCATTACTAATCCTTGTAAGTTCAGTTTGAGGTGTTGGTTTTATCACTGTTGATCCGCCAAATAATTCACCGTGATTTTGTTGTATTTGCGTAGTAGAAGTAATAGTAGTAGCAGAATTAGACATTATTGTTCGATGTTTTGAGATATTGGGAGCAGAGACGACCACAGCATCTTGTTGGTGGTTTGCTCCAGCAAGATAAGGTATGCTAAATCTTTGCTACGTGATGAATAGTTTCAATGAGATCTATTGAAGTTCGAAGGACACATGATAAAACATATTTCTTTATACTCACCTCCATGTACCATTCAGAACGAATAAGCAAGATAATATGTTGTCTTAGTTATTTTAGATAATAAAACAAACTACGACTAATATTTTAATTTATCGGTGATTTAATTATATCAAAAATAAGTATTTATATAACAATAGTACCGCATCAGTTATCGAAAAGGGAGAAAGAAAAATCGATATCTAAATAACTATTTATAAAAAAGAATAGTACCGCATCAGTTATTAAAAGGAAGAAAGAATGAAGCATGAGAACTTTACACAACACATTTGTGTGTGTATGCATAACAACAATAACCACACCAGAACCACACAACTAGATTAACACCTCACTCATTATAGTAATTGCTAAGTAAGCCTTGGAGTTTTCGGAGTCATCTAGCAAAAATAACGCAAAATGGCGGGGATTTTTTTATAACGATATGAAATTATGAATATATCGATATGTGCATATGTTTGTTGATCACATATAGTGGCTAAAGGGAATAACTATAACTGTCACAATTTTTAGAGGTAAGGGTAAAAAAAAAAATAGCGCAGTGGCCAAAATAGCTCAGCAGCCAAAATCACGCGGCGAAAATCGCGCAACTCTTTTTTATCTAGAAAAAATTTGTATTTTACGGGTCAATGCTTAATTACGTAACCAAGTAAGGGTTTCACTTGATCTGTATGTATATTACGGATTGTTACCGTTACTTTGCTTGTACGTAATTAACTACATTTGATCATATAACTAATTATGGATTTCATTTATAGAATCTAGCTAACCATAAAAGATGCGTATTTTCGAAAAAATAACTATTGAATTTAGTTATTATAAAGTATAGGAATCGCTAAAATGTAAAATCGAGAGAATACTACAGTCAGGGCTCGATTTAATGCGATTTCAATATAGTGACTTGGAGACAGGAGTCACTAACTCACGTTAAAGCGAGCCCTGACTGTATATGGAGGTATGACTTGTAGAATTTGGATAATGCATCTTAACTATATATAATCTTAAGGATTATAACCTTAACCTTAACCATGCCAATCATACCATACTTAAATAAGTATCACTCGTCTTTAAGTGTGCGAGTTTATGAACAAATTACCTGATTCTAGAGAATCACTGTTTTTATGTATAAACGTATCGCAAAAGATAAGGGTTTCCAAAATAAATTTTTCGACTTAAGAATTTGTTATTTTGAACAGGTTTCAATGTTTTCGGAACTATTTTATATAGGACAAAAATTATTGTTCCACAAAATGAGGTTTTGCACACTAGATTTATTGTGGTACTTTTACAGTAATGTATAATAAAAAATGTCAAACTATCAAATTCCGCGAGCAAAAAAAATCCAAAATCGCTTTAAAAATGGCAGAGAATTTCGTTTCTTTCCAGAAGAACCTTGCAGTTTTGCGGATTTTCTTGGTGGCACCGAGTCCACTGTTTCGCAAGATGGAGAAGCATTTTCTCGTGTCGTGAACTTTTTCAGAGACATTATCACCAAAGTCGAAATACAAGAAAGGATGGAACATTTTGCACTGGTAGTGACCCAAGATCGAGAAAAAGGTTTTGTGGTTACGGTTATAGAAGTACATAGAAAACCTCCACGAAAAGTATTAAATTGTCTTTCATGCGACACGGAATCTGAAACAAATAAAGTTTCACGGCTGGAATATTCATTTACCAAAAGCGTCACTACCACTATCACCTCAACTAGTAATGAAGCTTTAATTACAACTAGTATTGCAACTACAACTGGTACTACTACTGCTGCTACTAATACAAAAAATATGCTCAATAAAATTTGGCTTGACGCTAAAGCACGAAATATGTTTATAGTCACGCCAGTTCGTCATGTTGAGCGTCTTTCAGAATGTACCGATGAGGAAATATTTGAGATGTTTCATTTTGCTGTTCAACTAATTGGCGAAGAAATGAAATTATCAAATCCTCCTTGGGAAGGAGTACAATTCGAAAAAATGACATTGAATCACGGAAATGCGAGGAACCTTGAACATCTCCATTTAAAAGTCAGGATTGTGAAAAGTCAATTTGATTGGTTTAAAAAACATGGATGGGATGAGGACAAGAAAGAAAGATTTAGACGTCTAGAAGGAAAACTTTATTTTGACGATGAAAGAATAAAGAAAATAAAATAAAATAAAATTTTTAATGATGAAAGAATAAAGAAAAGAAGATAATGATAATAATAATGAACAAATATATATGCATACATGCATTGCAGAGTTCAACTGCAATGATACCCAAGACTTGTGATGCGTAATCAAAATTAGATCTCACTCGCATATTCCAAGCGCATGCATAAATATGTCTACTTATAAATGATAATAATCACACATTACCGTAAAGTACTACTTATAGTATCCCCTTCCTATAGTACCCGCCTGAGTAAAGTACCCCACCAATGAAATCGCTGAAACCGTGAATAGTAGTATCAATAGTATTCAATGTCAAAATCTTGCGGTACTATAGGCAGTGTTCTACGGTAAAGATCGTTATATTAAATCAAGAGAATACGAAAACGCGTATTTTTAAATATTATTACGATATTAGAACCAACTCTTTAATTTCATCAAATCTTTGGTATACATGATCTTCTTAGCAGCTTATTACTAAATTGAATTCAATGGAAGGACTATTAATTGATCTAATTATTTCTAGCATCAGAAAGGCATACTTTGCTTTGACTCATGAAGTTCAACTTTAAACATACTTCATTATATTTTATATAGTCACAATAACGTGATCGGGGAGGTTATTATATATATCCAAATGTCAGAGTTAATCCTTTATCGTAGATTGTTTACTGCATTTGATCTTTTGTTTACGAGCCACTAAAGTTTAATTGATTAATATTTAGCTTGCTCGGATGGATTGTAACATATCAATAGTAGGCAATACTAGGCATTGCTAAGTACGACTATTACTATTTCCTGCATGACCTTCGGAGAGAATCAAGGTTGTCTATTAGTCCCACAATTCCGGCAGTTATATACCTCTAACACTCCGATTTTTTGAATGTTGCCACACCAACTACAAGTCTTAGAAGTATAAGCCTCCACAAAGCACGTCCATAACGGTAACGGGCTTGTGACGATATGCGGCAAGCATCGGCGGATTGTGGAGATGGGTGACATAGAAACGGTTCCACGTGGATTTCTAAAAATTCTGCGCGCGAATTGTCATCGTTTGTCACAAATTTTTTCGAGATCGAAATGATAGAGTGAACCTTGCTGATTCGCGTTTGATTCTACATTACGTCTAATTACCTCTTCCCTAGCAATCAATGCTTCATCAATCGCATCGATAATATTCGCGGGCGCCTTGTCGTGTATACCCTGAAGCAGCATTCCAAGACGCACAACGGTTCGTACGAACTTGCGCTCATCCCATATTGCAGATTTTTGAAGTTTCTTATCTTCATGCTCATTAGCGTCTTTTCTGCCCGAACATCTGCGTAAAGCTTAAGTTTATCTTTAATAGTTGAGACTTTATCCAAGCCTGTTGTGATGGGTCAATATGAGAATTTTTGGTATAAAGACGGCGGTATCGACTTCAGCGGACAACGGCATTATAAGCATATCTCGTTAAGCCCATCCACCGTTTCAAGAGCTGAGGGTAATTTGGGTACACTTTGATTAGCAGCGTGCGGTTGAGGGTGGCTTCTGAATGTTGTCGTTTGTTGCGTGCTGACGTTGTTCTGGTTTTCGCCTTGCGCTTTTCGCCCGTTTTGATGTTCTCGTGGATAGCGACTCTTCTTCCTTGCATTTGGCAAGAATATCTTTGGGAAAGCTCGTGCTCGTCGGAAGTCGCATCATCGAAGAGAACCACGAGTTTTGTAGTATGGAGAGAATATATATCGGATGAGGTCGAAGGCAAACCGGCAGAGTCGATCACGGTGGGTAACCACAACTTCCGAGACCATTCCGCGACTTGTTCGTTCCAATAGAGCCTTAGGGGAGTAACAAATATTGGCTAATATTCTGGGGGGATGGCCTATTAATATAACCTCACATGCATGTGTTAAATGAAATCTCAGGAAGGGAGGTCCTATCACAAAATTGATATTAGCTAATATTTGTCACTCCGGTCGTTTGAAATTGATATCCAAGCCGATATCACTAAGAAGCTCGTGGGCTGGAAATCGAGAGAAACCTTTTTTTGGTGATAGTGGTGGCGACGGAGGCGGTGATGTTATCAGCATTTTGAGAAGTTAGCTCGGGAAGAGAGAAGAGTATCGTAAAGACGGAAGAGATCTTTCCTTGCTTGAGCGAACGACGTAAAGTGCCCGATGAGATACCTAGTTTCTTGCCTGGTTTGCAGATAAATACATGGAAAGGAGAAAGGAAGTAAGAGCTTGTTACGATTATGAGTAACTGATTAGATTTTTATTAAACAAAAATTTCCAGCGGTAATTTGAATATCTTGTAAATAGGAACAAGTTAATGATTATTTAGAAATAGAATCACTAAATGGATGTCTTTAGCTGTACAATTTGGAATTTGCATTCTTTTATTTCTCAAATTAAATGATTGATTAAATAAATGACTATTATGTCATTGAAACTTCCATTTCTTCATCTTCATCATCGTCTAAAATTCTAGGGCCTAATTTCGCCAAATCAGGTTTAGGAGGTTGAATAGCCTCAAGATAAGATTTACGTCCGATCTTTGGAATTAAATTTGCACAGTGTCGTTTGTCTGCCGCTATCTTATCAAACAATCTTGCTGCCTCTGGAGTCTACAAAAAAAATATAAATTAAATATCAATTAATTTAAAAATAAAAGTCAGTATTTTAATTACCTTCCAATAATAATAATCTAATTCGATCCATTTTTCGTCTTCTGCTTCCCGTTGAGATAAGGAATATGTGCTCTTTCGCTTTGCAGCAGCATCCGGATCATTAGTCTTGGCGGATATCTTGTAGTTAATAAAGGGAGAGAAACATAAACATATAATCATTGTTTCGCTCTTTCATTCAAAATGTATATATATAAACTTACTTGAACTGCTCTCCCTCTTCCTCTTCCTTTACCTTTTTGTGATATTGTGGGCTCTTCATTGTCAACATCCTGATTCAATTCTTTTAATTCTTCATCATCGACTTTTTTGTTCGCTGCTTTTTGTTTTTCGTCAATCTTGTCGAGATATTTGAGACCAGGACGAAGTTGATATGTTGCATTTACAGGAGTCAAATGAAAAGCACCTGTGGAAATATATTTTGTTGGAATGAAGTACTAATTGATTAATTAATTCAAATAGTCAACTTGCCATTCTTGTAATATCCAACCATATATCGTACTTTCGGTGGAACAGCCGTAGATTGTAGCGTTTGCCTATCCAATTTATCATCATCGTTTACTTGTGAAAATCGATCACGTATCGTTTTTGCCATTTCTTCATTGGTTCCTAATGCCAATTCTTGGCCTCTGTGTTTATCATAATATGTGTTATTTGTATCCAGTGGTATATCAAGTTCAAGATGTTTAGAATTTGGTTTCAGTCGTGTTTTTATCGGTTGCTCTCCTTCAGCATATGGACGCGATTTTTCACGTATTGGGAATTGGAGCAACTGAACTCCTGGTAACGCCAATTGATTTGTGAAGTACACCGGAATACGTTGAACTACATCTGGATCATTGATTTCGAATGGGTCTGTCTGAGGAAATTCTTGTTGTTCTTGTTCGTCTATTATCATAGAATCAATAACATTATTATTACTACCATCAAGACCTGCAGTTATCGGAGGAAGATATGCTGATTTGTTAACAATATTCTCTTCTAGGGACTTTTGTTTTCTCAGCTGAGGCTTGGCTTTTGAGGATGAACTATTGCCACCTATGCCAGTATTACTACTGCTCACTGTGGGTTTACGAATGGCAGAGGATTTTGCTTGTTTAACTTGTGGTAGCGAAGTCGCAGTTTTTACATTGCCTGCTTGTGGTTTCTTTGTTTTTGATTGAGTTTTGACGATCTTCTTATTATTGGCATTTGGGGAAACTTTTGTTGTTGCCGTTACTGTACGCTCTCCTTTACTAAAACTTTTTGTTTTAATTTGCTTTGGAGGCGGTAAATTCACTGCTGACGTTGAAACATTTGGAACATTGACAAGAGGTGCATCAGTTATTGATTCTTGTAAGTTCAATGTGTTTGACTCTGTACTTTTACTAGCAATTACGCCTTCCATAGTCGTCGTGTCAAGGAAAAAACGGTTAAATCGAGTTATCTTCTAATTTTCTGAAAATCTACTTATGTCGATCAGATTTTCAATTTCAAAAAAATATAAATATAACACGCGATTTTTATTTCCCTTAAATAATAATGCGTCCAAATACACTACTAGATAAAAGCAGATTTCTCGCAAAGCGATTAGCATTTTCTAATAAAGCTTTTTTTATCAGCGTTGCCAACACACACAATCGTCATGAAACAATTACGGAAAAAATTGTAATTCTTCGCATTTAATTTCCTCCAATGCATGCAAATTTTATAGTATAGTATATTTGACGTCTACTTTTTTTATTTATAAGGTATCCATTCTAATGAACACTCATTCGGGAGATTACGATAATGCAATTAGCATTGCAGCTGAATTATATACGGCAAAGTCACATATTATTGATGATTCTTTTCTAACTTTACCGAAAGTGTCCACTTCACATAAAGCAATGTCGCCACCGTTTGAATGGCTGGTACATATTTTGGCGGGAGATGCCCAAGGGTTGAAAGGGGAATGGGAAGAAGCAATGGTGTGTTTATATTTACTTTTAAATTATAATTAAGGATATAAATTAAATAGAGTTATCGTTCCTTTTTTCCCTAAAAAAAGAAAGAATTCAATAACGCAATGCTACTAAAATCATGTTTGAAATACAATCGTTATTTGGAAGCTTTATATTTCAGGTACAAAACAAAAAGTTTGCTTCTTAATCTAAAGAAATCGAATAACCTTACCCACGTTTTTTCTCAATTAGAATTGCCAATGCACAAATAGAGATTAGTAAACGAGTTTCAGAACTTGACACATCGCTTGAACATCTATTACGTACAAAAGAAACGGCAAGCACCGGATTAATTCATTTTAAGAATTCGTATGTAAAGTTTTTTTTCAGTTTACATAGTATTTTTAAAGGATTATCTGTAAGGAAAACTTATATTCTTCCTTTGTGTATAGACAAATATTGAATCATTTAAAGGGATCATCTTTTCTCTTACTCAAAGAACATAAATCAGCGCTCGATTGCTTTTCAGAGTCTGTTCTCAATTCAACTGTGAGAGCTTGTGAGCATGCGTTTTATGATTCACAATGGACTCTTGTAAAATCGATAATTGGAATGGGTTTAGCTTGGCATGCGTTAAGTAAGTTTCCGATTTTATTTCTCTATTGAATTAATTTATTTTTTGTTGTTCCTGAATGTGTTGCTTTTAATGCGAGCAGGGATTATAGCTTCGGACGAGTTGAGCTAATTGTCAAAGTCTATCATTTTGAAGAAAAGTAAAATCTCACCTATTAATTAGATGACTCAACATGATGTTCTATTTACTAGTCATTCTAATTAATAGGTAAGATTTAACTTTTCAGTCTAATACATAATATTATTATCACGACCTGATAGACCGATAGGTTTAATTTTCTAATCAAGGGCTTCAGGTCAGTCTAGCCCGTTGAGTCTGTTATTTTCTTCCCAAGGTCTCTTAATTCAGACCCGGGATGTCGCATCATCTACCGGATTATTTAGATTAGACCTGTTACCGTGATTGTCTATAAAAGTTTGGAGCTCGAATAGGGGACATAAGGATAATTTTTTTGTATTTTATTTAGGTGATTACCCAAAAGCATTAGAAGCATACAGGCGAGGCCTGAAACTTATTGAACAAGCACGCGATTACAACAAACAAAACAGAAATTCGCTCCGAGAACATATGATGCACGAATTTCGCAATATAAACCATGGTGAAAATTTGATTGACAAGGCGTTAAAATGGTGTTGGTGGGCGCGACCTGGAATTCTTAAAGGTTTTGGCTTCTCTTTGTTTTTTGGATTCTTTGTTTAAGCACAAGATATACTGACTTCAATTTTCTTTTGAAGAACTTCATCTTCAAAAACTTGAAACCATCACATTATATAATATACGTATTTTGAAATATTATGAATCATTTAACCAAAAGAATAATTTTAATCGCTCAAATGATAATATATCTTCGGATTTTTCTCTCAAATCACCATCATCCATTTTCGAATCCAAAACTGCAACTACGCCAAGAATTCCTATTGACCCAAAATCAATATTAACACCAACTCACCTAGCAAAAATACATCATCTCGCTGGCTATTATCATCTCTTCAAAAGAAACGACTACCATGCGGCATACAAAAAATTCTTGCATGCACAGTTTCAGGATGCTAGTATTCTGGAAGGTTGGTTGGCTAGGCGAGATATTCTTGACAGTGGATATCTTCTAAAAGAAGGCGATTCCTCCAATAATAATCAAAGTAACGATTTTGATGATGATATTGATATTAATGGTTCGGAGGTTGAAGAGAAGGACAGGAAAATGATAGAGCACGAATTGCTAACAGATACTTCACCCGCACAAGGCTCAATTCGATTATCCATGATCAATGATGTAATTTCGAAGATGATGCGAGACGAGTGGGGTGGTGGTAATTGTGAAAAGAAACAGGGGGTGAAGGAACGCGTGATCGAACCTTTTGTCGAAAATATTGCTGGTGTTGACCTGATATCTTAATAGTTTTAGTACAGAACCTTCTTTTTCTAAACTAGTTTTCAACATGAAAAGATCAATCCAGTACAAATGTATTGTTATCATAACAAAAAATATATTATTTGCTTTAAATTTTGGTTATCATTAATTGAGTCCAACACCAATACTTGATCCTAAAAAATTTACATATTCTTATTATATATAACCAATATTAATAAAAAATTAACTTCATTACATTTTAAAACCTTAAAAAAAAATAGTTGATTCTAATAGAATACATACTAAGGAATCTTTTTTATTATAAAACTTTTTTTGATTTTATATGTTCAAAAAAAAGTTGAAGCATATTTTTACATTCTTGATAAAAAACGACAAAAAAAAACGCACCACCACTTTGGCGGATCGACATGGATTATAGACGAACTGACATAACAATGTATCTCTGTTTGTAGCACAGTATTAGATATTATTTTGCGTTCATCGGATTGCACGTGAGTGAAAATCAGGTGATCAAAGATTAGCCACTGTAGTAAAACGGAGAAACTGCACACTGAACAACTTGTAAAATTCCGATTCGGACGGATTACGAGTTATTTGGACCGTATGGTGCCGGAAATCATAAAGTGAATTATTTTTAAAATCTTTCAACACTTTATAAAATGGAATTTAAATAATAACCAATAACTATTCTTTAATAGGATTTCTATTAAGACAATTTAAACTTGGTCACTTTTTATTATGATCGGTCCAAATTTGAAACAAATCATGTGAATATTTATCACAGGCATTTATTATAATTCAGGCCGGCATTATGCTAATGCTAAATTATCATAGTGCCAGCCTGAATTATCCTAATGTAAAATTGTTTTGCGTCAATACACGTGATTAAAATATCTTTACTCTATTGGTCGGTTACAAAAAACGTGACCAGAAAAATTGAGTTATTAGTTGAGAACAAATTTATGTGTAAAATTTGCGTATCCTTATTGGTTTGTGATCAGGATTCTGCTTCATGTGATATTTTCGACCCCTGACGATCTCAAAAACCAGTGAGGATTTGATCAACCCAGCAAAACAAATCTTCATTAGCGTTAGCAATTAAATTTCGCGTTTTTAAGTTTTGCATTCTAAATTTCACGTCCTTCAAGTAATAATTATCTCGATAATGTCAAAGTTCAACTACCTATTAAAAAATTCTGGCGAAGAGCTGGTTAATAAAGAAAAAATTATACAGAAGCTCCGGAAAATTTTTTGAAACTGGAACTTCGCGTCCTTCAAGTGATAATTATCTTTGCCTAAGTACAATTACTCTCTTAAAGCTTCAGGCGAAGAGTTGAACACGAATGAAAAGCGTTTATACAGAAACGCTGGCGACTTTTTTGAGACTGGTGATATTTGGAATATAAAAAATTTTCTGAATTTTATAAATAATGATGTAAAATTATCACAAATATCATTAAGCTTCAAAAAGGAGCTGTTTATCATGTGGCTACAAGAGAAGTTAAGGTGTGGAGAGGTAGCCACGAAGAATTATTTGAAGTTGGTTGAAGAGACGAAGGTAGGATTATATACATACATGTTTTTTAATATAGAGATGATATGAATTGTTTCCACCGAGATCTCGACTTTTGTTCACAGATATCAAATGCTATATTTGCCAAGATCTTGATTTGTGATGGGAGAATACTATATTTTCTTCTAATTTAAATTATTATTTTCTTCTAAATTTTCTTCAATTTATGGAAATACCATGCAGCATGTGATATTATCTTTTCATTATTATTTTTTACTTAATTTTTATGCTATTCAAACTTATTTATTTAACATTTAAATAATAATGATAGTGGAATGTTAACACTAATATGTATATTATTGTTATTATTTGACAGATTATGACGGACAAAGTTGATGTCCCTTATAAAAAATTCAACTACGCGCTCAAACGTTCTGGCGAAGCGCTAGATACGAAAGAGAAAAGAATATACCGAAGCGTTGGCAGATTTTTTGAAACGGGTGATATGTGGGATATAAAAAATTTTCTGAATTTTATAAATAATGATGCAAAATTATCCCAAATACCATCAAGTTTCAAAAAAGAACTGTCCACTATGTGGCTGGAAGAGAAGTTGAGGTGTGGAGAAGTTGAAGAGTATTTGAAGTTGGTTGAAGGGGCGAAGGTAGGATTATATACATATATTTTTTTAATATAGAGATTATATGAATTTTTCTTCGCCAAGATATCGACTTTTGCTACTACCTTGCTCACAGATATCAAATTCTATATTTGCCAAGATCTTGATTTGTGATGGTAGAATCGAATACTATATTTATTTTTGTTTTCTTCTAAATTTTCTTCGATCTATGAAAATACCATACTTGTTATTACCAACATGTGATATCATCTTTACATTATTTTTTACTTAATTTTTATGCTATTCAAACTTATTTATTTAGCACTTAAATAATAATGATCGTGTAATGTTAACACTAATATATAAATTATTGTTATTATTTGATAGAATATGACGGACGAAGTTGATATCCCTTATAAAAAGGTTACATCTGGGAGAGCGCCCGAGTATTACATTGATGTCGATGGTATTTGTACTTTTCTTTTTATAAAAATTTATTTCAGAAGTCATCAATGATCTTATAATTTGTTTGTTTATAGACTATATTAAAGGAGACATCCGGGATGAAATCAAAGTTTCTCCATGGAGCGAAATAATAAAGGAGATTTCGGATCGAGATGCAAAGGGATATATATACATATATCAAGGTAATTATTATTATTACCGGTTCACCATTTTATTATTAGTTAATTAACTATTGCATCTTATAACTGCAGCCAATAAAAAAAGCAAAAAAAATAAGCATGCATCCGATCCGTACTATAAAATTGGGCGAACTAATGACGTAGAAAATCGAATGAAGCAATGGGAAAAATTATGCAACTATAAAGTAGATCTCATTGAACATTATACAACAAAATATTCCCATCGCACCGAACGACTGATCCATCTAGAACTCGCAGACCACAAAATGGATTTACCACAATGTCCTGGTTGTAAGAAAAAACACCAGGAATGGTATAATGTTCCCCTAGATGTGGTCTGCGAAGTGACGAAAAGATGGATCAGGTACATTGCAGAAGCATACGGTGCCTGTTGAGGTATTTTTCATAATCATAATTTACATCATTCGATTTATTTATATGGTGCTCAGAAATAATATATATATGTATATATATTTTATAGCTCTTTTGGTTTTCTACGTCATTACCTCCGTAGAGAAACTTTGATATAGCAAAATCGCCACAAGTGAACAGATATACAAACATTATTATTATTATTATTATTATTATTATTATTATTATTATTATTATTATTATTATTATTATTATTATTATTATT